CAAGCTACAAACTGTTTGCTAATTTTCACACTGCATTTAACTTTGGAAGCTTGAAGATTTCGTAAATTGGTAATTGAATTTTGTAAAACATTTAATGATTTATTACTTGAATATACACACAAAATGTAACAAATCTTCTACATTCTGGCTTCATACAATATAATAAATTATTGTTTTCCTATCATACTAACTGAAACAGAGAAAAATGACCAGTTGCTTTTTTATGGTATGGTTTTATGAATACGTTATCAATAATGCCGCACACCGTAGAACTTCAAATGAACAGCATAACATTATATATCTGCAGCATAACATTAAATTTTTTCTTCGAAGTTCAGACTTGGTGCGTGAAGGTGCAGTTGCCTCTCGCTCCCTATTTTTTGAGTTCGCGTTTTCTTGCGTTTTAGTCTATGTGTCATATGTTTGATCAGATAGTCTGGCTCAGTAAAAGTAGGCGGCCAGTGTAACTCTGATTTAAAAATCCGGTTACGATCACGTGCAGTGCTGATAAGGACCACTTGTTTCTGAGACTCCTTTGACAATGCTTTATTTTTCTTCTTTTTTCCCCTTTCTAGGAATTTCGTTCTCCTGATGAGGGACCTTTAGCTGCCCTCGAAATCGATTGAGTGTTTTACTCAATCGATATACTTACGCTAAATACAAGGTTGTTATTGCGATTTTGATAACATTACATATTTTATTTTATTAAAAAGGCAGTATTTTTAAATATGTGGAACTTATATGGCTTAGACAGAATATCATATGCAGAGCAGAGAGGCTTGTGTTGTCCATGCGGCATTTAATTTATTTAAACTAAACTTTTTAAACAAAAGTATGTGTAAAATTCAGTGGGAGTTGATTATTATTCCTCCTTTTAAATGCACACAATCAGAAGGCCGACCACTGAATACGCAAAACCGATAGTTTAACATTGGTCTTCACAATTACCGAAGCAAAGAGCTAAAACGTAATATTTGCAAGGCACGTCAAAAGGGGAAAAAATGAAGTTCTTGTACAATGCTATAATGTATTTTTTCCTCCTTTTTAGCATGCCTTCGTGGTGTAATGGCCAGCATATTCGGCGTGTATTCGAGATATCGGAGGTTCGAGTCCCGGCGAGGGCATTGCTCATTTTTTACGTTTCTTGATTCGAAATAATCTAATGTCTCTACAGTGGCTCCCGAACTTAAAAGGTGCTGGTGGATGATGATTCTCCACCACCAGGATTTGGCGATTGGGTCTCTTAATCCCCAATCGCCCTTTAAAAGGGGGAGTATATTAGGTAATTCTCCCGCCTTCTTAGCATGCCTTCGGGGTGTAATGATCAGCACACTCGGCGCGTATTCGAGAGGTCCGAGGTTCGAGTCCCGGCGAGTGCATTGCTCTTTTTTCATGTGTCCTGCTTCGAAATAATCCTAATGACTCTACAGTGTAATATAAAGAGACAGATTGATTTGCAGTAATGATAAAAAATAATCTAAGGTCTTATTAAACAGTAAGATGAATGTGCGTGTCACTGACATCAGCCACTTTTCGAAGATGCATACTTGCATGATAGATGGTATTTAAAGGTAACGTTATGTCTAAATTCCCGGAAAGCACATACAAGAGAATTTCGAGGGTAACTAATTGCTCCGCAAGGAACAATTAGTTACTATTATTACAAGGAACAATTAGTTACAATTAGTGCTATATTTGACGAAATGTTTTAAGGGAATTTTAGCCAAGGTGTCTGGGAAGTGCATGAAAAGAAGATATAAAAGTCCTTTCATGATGCAAAAAAGGATTCCATGGGAAAAAAATAAGCACCAAACTGGTACTCCCTTAAGACGCAAATCAGCTTCTGTGATTCAAGATTTTCAATGTCTGAGCAATAATACAAATTTTTGCTTTATTCATTTCGTATTGGAACTTACTTTATTGGAACGAATGTATCTGCTGATGTACCGGCGAAATTGAAATAGTTTCTATCGATAAAATAGTGCTGGCTAGTCTGATTTGTGCATATGTTCATATTATAAATCTAGTATATAATGATTGTCGATTCAGAAAACCCCCAAAATAAGCCAATTTATTAAATGACGTTGACGATTGCTTACTCATAGCACCGCTATCGTTAATCTAAATTTAAGTCCACCATGAAGGCATTAACACAAAAGCATGTGCATAAGAGCTGAATACTGAGCCGACGTTTTTAAACTGTTGGATCAGGTGAAAAAAAACTGCTCTTGTCAAGAATTCTTCAGTTTTTTTTGGGGGACAATTTTGAGATACATCCTGATAAATAATAATTCCGACCAACGTTTCTTTCGTAAATGCGATGTCTCACTTCTAATCTTACTTGAACTTCTATTAATACTGAAAGAGAGCAGAGTCACTCCTAAAAAATATTTGTAAAGTAAAAAAGTAAAAAAATAAAGCATCAATTTAAAAACCTAAAAATCAATATATATACTTGCTAGACTAATGACTCTTAAGGCTTTCTTTTTGATGAAAGAAAACATAAAGTAGCAGTGACAGAATTATCATTATGTGTAGTCTATGGCCCACATAATATTTTTTTTCTTCTTTTTTGTTCAAAAGGAACTGTCATTCAAAATTTGTTCATTCGAGTGTGCTCTGTTATGGTATGCTTTGTACTTTAAAAGAGAATTGCAGAATGTTTTTTTGAGTTATAAAAAAACAAGTAAATCTGAAGGTTAAACTTCATAATGTATTTTTAGTTTTAACACCTTGAAGTTATTATTTCTAACTGAATGTTTCTTTTGGAGAGAGAAAGAGAGAGAGTGTATTGTTAATTTATTCCGCAGGTATAGTTATATAAATGAAGTTTAAATCACAAAATACTTTTTTAATTTTATTACGTAAGATGAAAATAATAACATATTAACATTCGCTGATTTATTCTATTTCACATTCATATACATAAATAAACAAATGTATCATTCGAGGATTAGTTTCACAATACTTCAGGGAAATATATTCACATCGCTTATTAAAAAAAGAAGAGAAACATTTGAACTTTTTTTTTTTGAGAAATACAAAATCGGAATTTATTAAAAGTCGTTCAAATTTTAACTTTTAAGAAAAGGAGATCGATATGTATGTTAACACACTTTATTACTGTTTTTACTAGATTGTCATTTCGCTTTGTAAAATACGAGTTCTGTTCAAATGTTTCCAAACTTCATATTTTATGTGTTGTGTATACCATATGAAACATATTTTTGTATAAAATATACACAATACATTAGATATTTTTGTGTGGACTTATTATTCAACCTTGTCACCTTAGAAGTACTCTCCTGTCCGACTGACGTATCTCTTGAATACCCTTTTTCAATTCATTTAGCAATCCCAGTCCGTCATTTTCCTGGGATCGCGCGAAGTTTCTTTTATCTCATTGTCCGTGTAGCACCTCCGTCTTTCAGAGTTAATTTCAGTTTTGGGAAACAAAGAAAAAATCTGCGAGACCATCAGGAGAGTAAAAATTCTAGAGAAGCACGGTTGTCTTTGTTTTAGGCTCAATAAAAGAAATTACATTAATAAAGATAAATATCAGTAAGCTAATTTAAATATATACGCGTCATTGTTAAATTATCTCGATGAAGGAAACAAGATTTGCTTATCCACAATACAAATTTTAATTCGAATGTTTGCTGTTAATTCTCTCAACACTTCATATAATACCAATATTTGAATTTCTGACAAATAATATTTGCATTTCTGGCAAAATTTCATGGTATATAACATTGTCAATGTCAAAAAAGATGATCGATATGATTTTCTATCTCATTTGTGGCGCTTTTTTCAGTTTTGGAATATCTTTTCCAAGTAAAATTGGGCTCTAGTTTCAATAACAAGCACACACACCCAAGTATCATCACTATAATAATTCTTTTCATGAAATCTTCCTCCTCATTTGAATGATAAAAAAATTCTGATGAATTGCAGTGCAGTTGTCTTCGTTCAGCATACGCAGGACGAAATTTTCAGTAATTCGATGCGTTTCCAATATTTGACTCAAAAAGTGATGATATGGCCTTATTGAAATGTTGCTATCATTAGTGACTCCCCGTACAATCGCACGATATCACACAAGCGACCTTTGAGCAGTTGAAACCATTTACGACACTGCATGCGATTTACGCAGTTATCGCTATAAAATTGTTTCAACATTTGATGGATCTCTAGAAAATATATTGCATATTTTATTCTAATACGCTATTCATGGAAATGATCCATTTTGAAAATTACAGTTACAGAAACAAAGTTTTAAACAAAGCAGCGGAATATGCCGACTGATCACAACAGAAATATTCTGCAAATAAGAATAATGTTGCAAAAATTACTGGCATAAAATGAATAGCAACTTTCCAGAATCGCTGTGAAATTGCATTGTGCGGTCTTTATACAGGTCAGAACTTTATAAACAACCTTTGTATATATCAGAATTAATTTTTTTGGTATTCATTTTATTGAAAATTTCTTTCCTGATATTGCTTTGTTATTTGACGAGAAGTAGATTCAGTGTTTTCATACACTACTTTGTGACAAATTCAGGTCTTATATTGTAAGTCATTTCAGATATCATACCACATACAAACTTTAGAGAACTATAATTGGTACACTGTGAAATTTAGGTTTATATTTCTTCTTTCTAAAACTTTAAGTGATAGATTAAAGTGCTTTCGTACATTTCTTTGGAATAATTAATGAAATAATAATAATAAAATTTTAATATCTCTTTGAATAAGATTAGTAGTATGAGCAAGCATGGTCTTCAAAAACATTTCTATCCTCAGTTGTCAGCAAGTCTCTCTTTTTATTTTTTAAGAATTTTTCTGCTTTGCAGCAGAAAAACATAGTGTATGTAATCCTAAGGAAGATTATGCAGGAAAATATTTAGGGAGGAGAACATTTTATAGGTATTTAAAAGCAAACAGCAGTACCCATTCCTTTCTGGCTAGCAAATTATAGAAACTTTGCATTTTTTATAGTGATAAATGCAGAGGAAAACCCAAGTATGGAAAATTGTGGCATAAGCAAAACATCGAATAGTGAAAATAAAATTGTTGGAGGTCGTAATGCCCTTGAAGGGGAGTTTCCTTGGCAGGTAATTTTTTTATTTCATTTTCTAATTTGTTAATTATAAACCAAAGTTTCACTGTTAGTGGAAAATGACGTATTATTTTCTAGTTGAAGAGTACATAAAAGTTTTCTGTCACGTTTTATGAATGAGTGAAGATAATCTGGCTGAGTGCATTTTAAAGTGCTATTTCTATTTGCAATTCTAAACTTTCATAATGAACAATTTTTTCGTTTTTACAGCTCTCTTTAGAAATGAGAATGATGCCTGTAATTTCTGAATTTCAACATATTTGTGGTGCTAGTATAATCAATGAAAATTGGGCCATCACTGCTGCTCATTGCATTGCTGGGTAAATATGTTTTATTATTTTATTTCATCGCTTTATAAAAAGGCATCTTAAAATGCACTGATCAAAACAGAGAAAACATATCCAGAGTCGTAGAAAACAGTTAAAATAACTTCTTTTTTTCATTACAAGAATTTTTGGCATTGCCATTAATAACGTTTTTTAAGAAGCAGTAAAATTAAATGTATATATCTTTGGGGAGAAAAAGAGTGAAATTTAGACCGTTTAAATAGTACATTTCAAAATGCAAAAAAAAAAAAAAAAAAAAATACTATTGGACCAAGGAAATTTGCTTAAGCTTTATAACTTAAGCAAATTAATAAATTAATGTGTCCCCTCCCACTGCGAGATGAGAATATGATACACATTTTGCGGAATCTCATACTGAACTTCGATTGTTTTCCAGATCAGGAATATGAGATGCTATTCAGTGCGAGAAGTGCAGTAGATATTGACAATAGCGTTAAAGTTTAGATGTAGATTAGACATTTCGGACCAAAAAACACGAAATATCAATAATACCCTCACAGGGATACGAAACACAGATTTTTCTTCCATATAGACGTACTAACCACTTATACCACTAGCGAATGTAATGGGAAAAGACGATAGTTGCTCACAGAGGTACCAGATGCTTGCTTGCAACTCATAAAGTAAAAATATTGCATACTCCTTTTAAGCTTGCTAAAAATTAAAACAGTTGTAGAAATCCTAGTATTTTCTGCAAGCTGTTTTGAGCCTCATTAGAAGAGACATAAATTGATGACCTTGTCACTATTATAGCATTCTAGTAATAATATTTCGTTTAGTTATTTTGTATTATCAGAAAATAGCATATTTGAGCTATATGCATTAATAATGAATATTCGTATATTCGTATATCCCTGTTGGTTTTTACTCTTAGCACTGTACTCGATAATTAAATGAAATATTGATTACCTTATTGCAGAATAGGTCCATAGTAAAGGTTTTGCCGTGATATATGCCAATGTAAGATTTATATACACTTAAGCACATTTAACGTAGTTTAGGTTATATATACGTAACATGCATCTAGATTTAAGACATTTTTTATTTACGATATGTTTATAATGACTGAACCCATCGCACAGATCAGATAAATAAGCTTAAGTATGCAACGTTATTATGGGCAAAGCAGGAAGTTCAGATGATTCTATCTCTCTTTTATATACGTTATTATGCTGCATCTGATTTTTTTTTCATTTATGGAATTAATTGTTCCAACCAATAAAATATGAAGCTAGATAGGCTCAGGGATCGCATATCGTTCTAGACGTCGATCTGGTTCATGATACAGCTAAACATTTAAATTGTAAGTAGCTCATCAAGTGATATAAGTGAGTGGCTTGTAAGTAATTAATTTATTACAGTGCGTCACTAATACTTTTAGACATCATTTGAAAATTTATTCCTTAAGTATTTTGTTGGAGTTAAAACCGAAAAAAAAAAGATTCCATCTCCCGGTGTTAATTTCAAGTGTTTGTTTGCCTAATTTATTGCTTGATACAACATTCGTAGCTCGGATTTCTGATGAAATAGCGCATGTATGTCAGTAATAATAAGGATAATAAAATAAAAAATATTCCTAAGACTTCTTGTACGTGATTAGTAATAATACAATAAATGCAGAAGTACTATTATATGATTACACTCTAATTACACTTAACACTGGATAACCTTTCTAGTCTTACAGGTGAATTCTCGTCTCATCTTTAATTAAGAAAAATTTAATATAAGGAGCTTACAACGAGCATTAAAGAAAATACGATATTTATTAGCATTATTTTGGCTTGAAATTATCATAAAATAAATTGATTAACAAAACTTAGCTTACTTTTCTTGCAGTCAGGCACGATGCAAACACTGGCCAATGAATTAGAAACCCAGAAAGATCAGTATTTTATTGCATAACTGCTCTGATTCTTTTGGGCATCAAGTCTGCATACTTTTGGATGGCATTTACGTCCAGAGAATACCATCCATTGGCTATGCAACCTTTTAGATCTTGTAAATTAGATGGAAGAGGAAAGCGCTGTCGGATGCATCTTTCCACCATATCCCACACATTTTCTATGGGGTTAAGATCCGGGCTGGCAAGGTGTTCGAAGTCAAACCAATGTTCAGCAAACCAATTTTGAACACTTCTGACACGATGTATAGTTGTGTTATCGTCCAAGAAGTATCCGTCGCCATCAGAGTAAAAATGCAACATTGCACGGTGAACTTGATCTGCCAGTATATCTAGGTATGTCATGGCTGTTTGTTTACCCTCGAGGAAAACCAGGGCACCACTTTCTTGCCAACAGAACATCCCCCATGTCATGATACTCCCACCAGACCCTTGCACAATACGAATAAGGCAAGATGGATTCATGGCTTCATGGGGTTCTCCCCAAATTCGACGTCTTCAATCAGTGCAAAATAAGATTACCCGTTTCAAATCCTCATATGTCCAGGGTCTTCTTTCCCGACACTACTGCAAACGAATTTTTGCATGTCAAGAAGAAATGAGCGGTTTTCTCACAGGCATCCGACTATGCATTATTATCGTCTGCATTTCTCTGCGCATGGTTCGAGCTGAAATCTATTGTGAAGAGTCTTAGTTGACGATCTGTATCAGTTGAACTACAATCGAGTCCCTGCTCTGTCGTACAATTCGTCGGAGACGACGCCGATCAGTGTCTCAGAAAACTGTGCTCAAACCGCAGTTACATCTTCTAGAGAAGGATTGTGGGTTCTGATTCCAACTTTTGAAAACCTTTGATATGGCTGCTTTTGGGAACACAGTGAGATTTGCTGTCGAAATCGAGGCCCCTGCTAAACGGGCACCAGTAATAAGCCTTTTATGAAATGGTGAAAGACCTGTCATTTTTTCCATTTTACTTTGTAGACACATTAGACATTTTTTGGAAGCAGACAAGATGAAAAATTAGCAACGTCTTCACCGTGAATCAAACCGCGGACCTCTCAATTACGCGTTGAGCGTGCTACACCACGAAGGCTCGCTAAGAAGGCGGGAGAAATACCTTATATACCCCCTTTTAAGGGGCGACTGGGGTTTTATGGACCCAGCTGCCAAATCCTGGGTGAGGAGAATCATCATCCAACACCCTTTTAGTTCGAGCGCCACTGTAGAGACATTAGGTATTCTTTTGGAAACAGGAAAAATGAAAAATATGCTACGCCTTCGCCGGGAATTGGACCACGGACCTCTGAAATACGCGCCCAGCGTGCAGACCACCACACAACGAAGGCATGCCAAGAAGGTGAAAGAAATACCTTATAACTTCATTCATCGTGAAACGTATTCTACATTCTAACCATGTGTAACCAACGTCATAAAAACATTTGCATACTTCATCCCTAACACGCATTCAAATAAAAATCTCAAAGATTTCTAACTCATTGGCTAGTGTGTGTAACAGCGCTTCAGTTATTTACAAAGCAAGTATTAAACTGGAAATTAAAAAAAAAAAAAAAAAAAAAAAAAACCGCCTCCTATATTGACACGCTTTCAAGCCTAACTATAAATAAAAGTTTAATTGCTCTAAGTTGCGATGCCTCTCTTCTTCAATTTAGGTCTTTGTCGTGAATAAAATCCGCTTAATTTGCATTTTTGGTTAAGCTGATAGAAAGCAGAAGTCCAGGAAATATTCTCATGGTCTCAGTTCCAGTACTATTTATTCGTAAACTTATTATGAGGTATCTGTTCACAAGTCCTAAAGACCGTAAGTCAGGTCATTCATAATCCGGGGACTGCCTGTCTTTGTAAATAACATGGCAGATAGTAATAAATTTACATGGGCTTTGTCCAATTTTTATAGCCTGCACAGGCAAAGGCGATCTCACTGATATAGCGTAATCCTTCTAAACTGTGCTACTTTTGGGTTTAATTTTAGAATGCCGTGCAATCGTCAAAATCCCGCATGACCTGAGTAAATATTCTTGTTCAAAGTTTTGTATTCACGAGGTACGGAATGTTTATTTCTTGACCCGCTTTTGTTAAAATAGTTACGTCTTTTTTAATAAATATTTAATTTTGCTTCTTTCATTTCCATTTTAGACAACATATATTGTCAAATGCGTTATCTGTGCTACATATTTGGGTAGTAGCTGCAGCTAAAAACTGTTTATTTCTTTTTGCGTATACAATTAATAATATATAATACACAATAAAATAAAGTTTTGAAAATGTTTTGAACCAGCATTTCCTGTTTTCCCTAAAATAACAGCTTACAAAGACAGACGTCTTAATAACATCATTTTTCAAGTAGCTGCCTAGTCTTTGAGCATTTCTTTTGTGCTGAAAATGTCTACGTTATCTCATATTCAGCTGGATGCTGCTGAATATTAAATTAAGATATTTTAAAATTTAAATGCCAAATATTTTTCACATTTCAGCCAGAACTGTCATCATACATAGAGAAAACTTCATAGCTGGCAGCCTTTCGATGTAACAGTAGAACGCAGGCTTAATGCTCGAATTAATATTGTATTACAAATAAGAAGCCGCATACGATTGTTCTGAAAATTTATTTTCTAATAAAACTTGTAACTGAGATTGCAAGATAAGGTCCTAATAAGCATACTGTCTACTGTAAATATATCGCCAAATTAATTGTGCACCTTTTTTCCAGAGGTTATTTTACAACTTATCGTGTGGTGGCAGGAGCTCAAAATATTTCAAAGCGGGCTGCACCGACTTCTCATGTGGTAAGTAGCATTTAATGATTTTTTATGACTTCGATAATAATCAAGATTCATATTTTAAATTCTTGACGTACTTTTCTGTAGGTGCTACCAATTGTCCACGAAGGCTATAATCCAGTAGTTTCGCTGAAAAATGATATCGCGCTGTTGCTTCTTACTAAGCCAATTAATATAGCGGAATCGGATGGGTATATAAATGGAGTTTGTCTTCCATCACGAGATATGGCTGATAATGTGACGGGCATGGCAACAGTCACTGGATGGGGAACTACGAGTCAAGGTACGCAATAAATTTTCTAACTTTCGGTACAAAATAATTTAAATCTGGATATCCGTGAGAAGTAGAACTCAGCATCATTCTGCTCAAGTGTAGTCAGGCTGTCTATTAGCTTTTACTGTAGTTTGAAGATGATATTTACGTTTTCAAACACAAATCAACTCTATAGTTACATATTACGTAAATTAATGAGTTTGAATATCAGCTTTAATACTGCAGTTTTGCATATTGTTTAAAAATATGGTATGAAAATGCACCTGTGTTCTATGTATTGACCTAATCTTTCCTGCTATAATTATATGAGGAACATAATACTCAACAAATACTTTCAATTTATTTGGAATTTCAAAATTAATTGCCTAAAATCTTATAAAGCTTCTAAAACAAGCCTTGAAAGAGTGAGGTTATAAGGCGATTGACTGTAGTTAAGAAGTAAGAACTCGTAACAATGCTACTGCTTTAAAATGTTTAGGTTATTACAAATTAATGTAATTTTTAAAGATAAACTAAAGTGAAATATTTATTTAAGTAATGTTTTCAGTAATCTGAAATAAAGACAACAAGAAAGGATATATTTAAGTGCCTCATAAACCTGACATTTAATCGGCCTGATGGATAGAACACATTACAAGTAACTCTTATTTAAATATTTCACCCTGCTGTTGCATTTCTAAAGTATTCCATTTTTCTTCAGTTACATTGATTTAGATTTCTATGACATTAAATCTTGAAAGAAGAATAATCATGTAATAATTATTGAATACGCTCAGTTTTAAGGATAGAAATGTACAGTTAGAAGCAGTTAAGAATAATTAAGGAAAATTGATTTATTTGGCAAAATTATTATTTAAATGTTTCATTATCAGTAAGGTTCTTCCTTGTTTCTCGATCAAAGGAAATCATAACAGTAAGGAGAAGCTACTTTCTAAAGAAAAGAAACATGTCACTTGCGTTAAAACTTATCAACGCATTATTTTTATAAAAATCGTTTTCAGTGAGATGTAATTTTTTCTTTGAAGACTTGGCGTCTAAAAAATTAAAACTTGTGAAAAATTTATAGGTGTTAAGTAACGGATGACGATTAAAGAGGTGAGATTACTAAAGTGCAATAAGTTAATGCGAATCAGGATCTTACCAAGCCCTGTTTATAGTTGCATAACTAATCTCCAGAGCTTGGTCAAGGCAGGGAAACTAAGAATCATGATCTTACCAAGTGCTGTTTACAGTTGCATATCTAATCTCCAGAGTTTGGTCAAGGCAGGGAAACTAAATTAAATAAATGACAAATCTCTTCACAAGCCGATTAGTTTTGATGCCGATTCTTCACACAAATACGAAAACCGGCCTTCGGAAGAAAGAAAAAATGTAATTTATGAGAAACTCATGTCCGAAGTTCTAGCAGCATATGAATAACTAATTACTAAAATGTAATCGGAACATAATTTGGTAGCAAAAAGATGTTGTAAATGTTTGCTCTGCTTAATTGTTCGTAAGAGTAACTCATCTGTAGATTGAGAAGTGGTTAAACGCATTTGAATTCTAACACCTCCTTCAGAGTTTTATTCGCTTCTACATGGTCTACCTGTATAGGGTAATAAGATTTTTCTCAAATTCAAAACGAATGCGAAACAGATTACCTTAGAAAGTTCTCCAGGAATGCGTGGCTCCCTGTGAACGCTAATTCATAATTAAACATTCAGTCTAACTGCAGGAATAATTTTAAAAGTGAATATAAGAAAGAGAATTAGTAAATTCAAATATTTTGGCTTCTAGCGTATGAAATTTATCTATGAATTTCAAATTATATTTTTCGTGCATTTGATGATTGCATTTAGGGTCGTTTAGTAGATGAGAGAAAATTTTTATTATTAAGTTTTGCATAAATTCGGCACCGTAAAACGAAAATAAAATGCCCAGAGATGCAGAACATAGACCTGGAATAATGCTACAATTAAAAACAAGTTTTAACTGCATTTTAGTATTTTAAAAGTTTTTAACCTAAGAAGTAACTGTCACCTTTTTAACAGTATGAACAAAAAGGCGAAAGAACTGTTCCCTAATGCATTTTAATTCTGCGTACAGAAATTTTCATTATGGAATTGAAGACTCTCAACATAATTATAAAATTTGTTAACTTCTTTGTGAACAAAGCAGAAATGAAAAAGACACACATACGAGTAGCTGTTACCAAGAAGAAAATTTTATTTTTTAGCTACGATTTTTATTTCTGAGCTGAGATTCTGCAGGTGCTGATGCTTTCGCTTAAGCTTTGAATAAGATTGAATTGTAAAATGAGTTTTGCTTGACCTGTTAATAAAATTTTGATTTTTATATTTTTAAACGCATTAAAAATATGTGTTTGAGCACCTTGTTTAAATCAAAGGCTTTCATCATATGATTACGTATACATATTTTCTCGAAACAAAATTTCATTAATTTACTGACACCAAATATTTTATCATGGTCTGTTCTTGTTAACGCGTTTCACTTACTACGCTACCGCTTGAAATGACTCAGTATCCTAGATAACTGAAAATGAACTCCAGTCGACAATGAATCAGTCGACTTATAAAAATGGATTAAATTTTGTTAACTGCTTGCTTACACTGCAGAGTTCAGCATTCCTAATAATCTGAATTTTGGTCTGATTCTCACCTTGTTGGCAAATATATTACCTGTATTAATTTAGAAGTCAAATAACAAAAATCAGCCTTATATTTTCAAAATTCACAGGACTAGTTTCGATGGTTTTACCGAACCATCATCCTCAGCTGCAAAAGCGCAAATGAACGAGATAAGACGATGATATTATAAAAAGATCTGGACAGGAGATAAGCTACTGGCACCATCTCTTGATGAAACCAGAACTAAAACATAATTTCTTTAAAGGTTGAAGGCAAAGATGGATTGGAATTAGGGTCGTTGACTAGAACAGAAAGATTTTTTTGAATTTGAAACGCCTCTAGAAAATCCAGTTCACCAATGGAAGATGTTTTTTGAATAATTTTGGCAGCAGAAAAATTGAAAGTGCGATTTTTGGACCAACAATGTTGGGCAACAGAAGACTTCTGTGTTTCCTTTTTTCCTGTGCTTTTCACCCAACAATATTAATCAAGCAGTTAAAAAATTCTCATCTGAACACACCAAAAGGCATACTCTTATTTTAGGAGATTATAAAAATTCTGTTGTCATTCCCTTCTTTCTATCAATTAGCTATAAAGTTGCACGTATTTTGCAGAAATTTAATTTTCGGGCCGTTTATTCTCCCATCAATAAAATTTCTAGTTCCATACTCAAGGACCCCATTCCGGATATGAGAATTCCTGGGGTATTTACAGGATTCCTTGCCAGTGTGGTTTAATTTACATTGGCCAAACTAAGAGAGCCTTAAAATTTTGTGTAAAGGAACATGAGGTATATGTTAGAAGGAAGGAAACACAGAAGTCTTCTATTGCCCAACATTGTTGGTTCGAAAATCCCACTTTCAATTTTTCTTCTGCCAAAATTATTCAAAAAACATCCTCCATTGGTGAACTGGATTTTCTAGAGGCATTTCACATTCAAACAAATCTTTCTATTCTAGTTAAAGATGCTAATTCCAACCCATCTTTGCCTTCAGCCTTTAAAGAAATTATGTTTTAGTTCTGGTTTCTTCAAGAGATGGTGCCAGTAGCTTATCTCCTGTCCAGGCTTTCTTATAATATCATTATATCTTATCTCTTTAATTTGCGCTTTTGCAGCTGAGGATGATGGTTCGGTAAAACCATCGAAACTAGTCCTGTGAAATTTGAAAATATAACGCTGATTTTTGTTATTTGATTTCTAAATTAATATTTGTTCGGCGTGTTGTTGTATCTTATATTACCTGTATTTAGTGATGATTGTATGCTCATCCACAAGGTCCAGTTTTTGCCAAATTAACAGCAATATCCACAGTAAAATAATCAATTCAGCTTCAAGACAAATACAACCTGGACATTAGATAAGCTACTGGCGCCATCTGTTGATGAAACCAGAACTAAAACATAATTTCTTTAAAGGCTGAAGGCAAAGATGGGTTGGAATTAGCATCTTTAACTAGAATAGAAAGATTTGTTTGAATGTGAAATGCCTCTAGAAAATCCAGCTCACCAATGGATTTTTCTAGAGGCATTTCACAGGACTCTCAAGAAGACGAAAATTCTTGAGATTCTTCAAAATATTTAGAAGAAATTTTAAAAGGTCTGTTTTACAATATCTGCGTTTCAGTGAGGCAGCACTTTGACATTCATTGACGCATGATGGATGTACAAATTGGTGAAAAGAATAAGATGGGACGTTATCTTTAACTAAAATTTTAATTGAAGTATGAGCCGAACAGTTATTAGGTATTTGATATTAATTAACCAATTTTATTACTTAAATCTTTACTATAACTTCTCCTTCCCAAATGTAAATTAGTTGTTTCACCAGAATTCTCACCAGCTCTTACCAGAATGCAAATTACTTGTTTGAATGTTTAAGTCGAGGGTTTTGAATGTTTTTGTGTTAGAGCTTTTGGCAGCCTCACCTGCATTTTTTTCCTATAGCAAGCTCTGCCAGAGATTATTCCGTCTTTAGTCATTTTACTAGTCGCCGTTAAGAACCCGCCGTTAAAATATTTGAACCAGCTTAAGTAAACCATTTTGGTTATTCTTCAAATGAAATACTGAATTTGAATTTCAACTTATGTTAAATAACCGCAAGGGGCGAATGCTATTTGCAAGTGTTGTCTTCTGTTTAATTTAAAGATTTAATAAAAAAAGGCTATTTTTACCTTTTCAAGACTTTGTCATCCTAATTCAGGATGAAGTGAAACTTGCTTATCAGTCTAGTAGGATTCTTAGGACACTGATTTAATCTTCTACAAAACTAAAACTTTACGCAGTATTCTATAATCAGGACACCAATACAGATTCAAGTCAAAATATCTATTGCTAAGATTATGCGCGAAATATTTCTCTTTGAAACTCTAGTCCTCTATTAAAAACATTTTTCTGTGGTAGATACTTTAAAACCTACTAAAAACACCTAGGTCTGTTTTCTATCCTAAGTGGCCAACCAGTGACCAAGTGTAACAAACAATAGTAGGTCTACATATATTTAAATCCTGGAAAATGGCTTGGCAACATGGGCATTTTCGTTGTTTTCTTCATGCATAATACAGGTATGAACCTTTCCTTAGAACGTCCTCCTTGAAAATATTTCTCGCCTTAGGCAGATATCCCTAATGTGCCGCAATCCAATGAATACTCAATACTTATTTCTTCTTCATTTACAAATTCGGATATATAACGTATATCTGTACGGTTTTCATTTAAAATAAACTACATATCTGTCATCTATAAGTTCCATTCTACTGTCGATATTTAAAGTACATTCTAGGATGACTGCCTTTAGATGATGAAAGTGAACCCATTTCAAATAATAGCATTAGTTGAAGGGAATGATTAATCAGAAATGGGAATTAAAAAAAATGATTTTGTGGAGACAGTAGGTATTTTTCGAAGCAAGCAAGATGAAAAATTAGCAAGTCCTTCGCGGGAATCGAACCGCGGACCTCTCAATTACGCGCTGAGCATGCAGACCACCACACCACGAAGGCATGCCAAGAAGGTGGGAGAAATATCTTATAATGTAATCTTAGAAGATAAAAAATTGCGGTTGTTAAAAATTGTTAAAAAACTGCAAAAATTGTAATTTAAGAATTTTAGCAAAATTTCAGTATATTGTAGACAGAATAAAGTACTAGTCATAAAGCCCGAAAAGTTGCACCCCATAAGCTACAAAATAAAGGATATTTTAAGTTATGAAAGCTGAAAAGTAGCTTAATTTACAATTTTATAGGTTTTAAATTTAGTTAAGAAAAAAAGGAAATGTAATACAGTTAATAAGGAAATGTATTACAATAATAATCCTCAATGTAATTTTTTTTTTCTGTAGGAGGTTCTCTTTCTGACACTCTAAGAGCAGTGGATGTTCCTATTATAACTGACGCTAAATGTCGTGAAGCTTATGAAGATATGATTGAAGACACTATGATTTGTGCTGGTTATGAAGAAGGAGGAAAAGACTCCTGTCAGGTCAGTTAAAAGTTTTCTTCTTCTTTCTAGACGTTAACTTTACATGGTTTAATTATAAACTCATATTTTAAACAGATGTTAAAAAATGCGGGACATAAATCTCTCATAAACTATCCCTTTTATTATTGACAAATATCTCTCGCAACGCAAACTCGGCGTATGAAAAGGGTAACAAAGAACTGCAAAATAAAACTGAAGAAAAAGTTTCTTGCAATTTGCGTACTTAAAGAATTAGCAGAAAAGAATATCCTTTTGTAACCGAAAAGCCCTTTTTTTGTTGTTGTAAAAGAAGTAAAATTTTGTTTTAATTAATCAGAATTCTAAAGCTTTTGAATTAATTTTAAAAAGCATTTTAATTAACAACCAAGTTAATATAAGAAAAAAAATATTATATAATATTCTTATCTGTTAATTCTACGCTAGATGTAATAATTTGTCTCGTTATAATGACCTCGACCGATCTTCTATAAACCCAACGTAATTTTTCTCTCAATATAACGACACATCTATGGATAAAAATCGCATTATAAAGACACTTTTGAAAATATGAGTAACACAAAATATGAGAGACCATTTCCTTTCCTTTTTTTATGATTAATATTTTTCTGAAAATTATAACAAAGCAAAATTATGTATATTTACAACCAATCTCTTTCCAAAAAATTAGAAAACAAAAATCTTTCTCTTGCCGTAATGGAAAATTCTCAGAATATTTTCTGAAGTAACTTAAACAAAATGAAGTTATTGCAAGAAAGTGGTGAGGGAGATTGATTCTAACTTATGTTGTAGAGACATTAGATATATTTTTGAAAGCATGAAATACATGAAAAATGAGCAGTGTCCTCTCCGAGACTCCAACCAAGGACCTCTCGAATACGCGCCGAACGTACTGATTACTATACTACGACTGCGCGCTGAGAAGGCAGGAGAAATTCCTTATAATGTAAATTACAAATTTTATTTGCTTAAGTAGTCACGCAATGCAAATGTATGCATTTTGCAAGTTGAATATCATTAAGCAGGTATTTCTAAGCATAAGTACTTTTAGTTAACAGAATTTTTATTCCACTGATAATTTATTACAAGCAATTTAGCGTCTAAGCATTTAAGCTAAGCCGAATTTTTTAATTCATTGAGAAATTAAAGTTTAATAGAACAGAAATGCTAGTTTTGCAGATAAGTCACTTTTGCTGACTTTCTAATAACATTCCATTTCATTCAATGACCTTCTGACGCAATGACCTTTTGCCTTCTGTTCATAAAGGTCGTTATAGTATAAGCAGAGAGTACAAAAGATTTGTAAGCAAATTAAACCGACAATAATGAATTATTCTTGAGCAAAAATTAGATACGAAAATACTTCAAATTTTAAACATGGAGTATTTAAGTTTATTAATTATTTTCTCATGCATTTAGCAACTAATAATAATATGAGTGATGATAAGAAAATAAGTGTAGAAAATGAAATGAAGGTAATACTTATTTTCAACCTCCTCAGCATGATTGCCATTATGCATCTGAACAAATCACTGAACTGAAGTCAGTTTTGTATAAAGAATTTGATGATAAAGTAATGAAATGCAAGAGAAGTATACTTTTCCCCCCGCTCCTTTATTTTTTAAAAATTTTTCTAACAATTTATTAAAAGTGTACTTTTACTACTAGCACCTACTAGGACTACCTACTACTAAGACTACTTACTAGGACTCATAGCAGCACCCGTTACTAGAAATGGTCTAATTCCATTTCTAATCTTTTTAAAATTTCAAATGCCATTTTTACTGAAGGAAATTACGAGGAAGGAGCTATAAATAACTTGCGAAAGCCTGCGATATCTCAGCAATGTATTTTGTTCATACAAAAACATGGAAACATGAACAAAAGCCTATGTTTAAATATACGAACGCAACAAAACATTTCACCTTATGCGCAACTAATTTTCCACTTTAAGCTGTACGCGTAGTTTTGAATTGAAAAATGACACGGAATAAAATCGAGATTTCATTGATTGCAATTACTTCCTATCAGTTAAAAACATCAATAAAAGAACTCCCGAATAATCAAAATCAAATCATTTTTTCCAATATAAGAAATTCATAAACTTCCTTAAAATTTGCAAGTTAAATTTTGTAATTATATTCATTTCGGTAAGATAAGTCGTTGTGTGTGAAGGCGTTTCAAACTTAAAGCATGGTTGGAAATGCCTTGCTTTTAAATACAATGTGTTTCAAATTGAAAGCAAGGTTGGAAATGCAAAATCTTTCAAAAATTGCACGAATGATGTTGTATGGTTGGTCATAAAGCAATGCTTTCCAATTTTAAGAAATAAATCAAATGAGGTTTTCTGACTGACAGTTTTGTCATGTGTAATGTTTTAGTAAAAATATAAGGAATAAAAAATTTCAGGCCACCTAAGAAGGAAGGAATAATTAGTAAGATTTTTTTATCTTACTAAATATCCTTTAGGCAGGGGAAACGATGATAATAATATTCCTAAGTACATAATATTCAAATAAAATAACTTAACCACTTATCTCAATGAATTTGAATACATATGTATCAGTGGAAAAAATTTTCGATTTATCGCTTTTTGCAAATGTACAGAATAACACAGCATACCACTTTCTAATGTAATGAACTCAAAAAATGCGTTCTTACACGTATTTCTAATCCATTTCGAATCATTAGTTCGAACACTTTAGGTTCTATAAGCAAAATTTTATCCAAAAAGTACACGGTGTAGAAAAACATCTTTTAGATGATTATCACATCAACATAACTCAGTGATATATTTAGTACATACCGATAATTTCATCTCGAATACTATAACCAGGATAAAAAGAAATGATTTATCGGTTTTTCACAGTTTATGCACGCAACAAAAACATATTCGATTTAACGTATTTAAAATAAGCCTACCAGATGTTGTTTGAAAGCGATTTGAGAGTCTTACAACCTTTACAAGTTGTTAATAAGCAACTAGTGAGATTAAGGTTAGCTCAATTGGCTTCTAAGAAAACAATTTAGATTTTACGGTTCGTATGATTTCCAAACGAAAGTCGAAATTTATAATTACAAAGACTTTTATGCCACGAAAGTATATAAAATAGCAGTGAATTTTTGCGTAACTTCAGTTCCACGTCGTGAAAGAAGTATTTACTTTCTGCATCTGTAACATAATTTACCATTAGACTTAAAAATATTCAAAATTATTATAACGCCCTTTGATTGCGTTTCCTTGCACAGGTTAATTTGAGATATTAAAATAAAGAGAAAAGAAATATTTTTGACACCAAATGTTTTCTAACAGTATTAAGACATCTGACATTGCTATTATGGAGATAGTAAATTTCTAAAGAAAATTTAATATCATTTAATATCAGTTATTATAAACTACACTAAAAACATCAAAACGGCTACAGCGTTAAAGAAAATAATTAGCAAAATTATATTTATTTTACAAATATATGATGACTGAAATGTGAAATTATAAAAAATTCAGTTAATTTTGAGACACAAAATATGCAACAATCAGTGCCTCTGACATCCATCTCAGGAAATAATGTCAGCTATTATATGGCTAGGCACAGAGTCGAGCAGACTTTTAATAGTTTTTTGGGATACCGCAGTTCGCTCGGCTTCAGTTCTATGCTAGAGTTTATTATCGTAGATGATATAGATGTAGATACATTCGATGACAATTCTGTCTGCAGCCTTTGACCAGACGTTTTCAAGACTTTGTAAGGTCAAGCAATGGAGGCCCCCGAAGATATGACATAGCCATGAGCATCAAAACCTAAATCATGTAACGATAGCTGAAGTACCCGATATGTAGTCTGGGGGTACGTTGGCTGTGTACCCAGTGACATTGCATTTTATCAAGCGCTAGGCCGTAGGGGAATGTAGAAAGCGACATTAGCAATGTTCGTCCCCTTCGAAGCCTCCACACACAGTTACATTCATCTTGATGCTGTAAGTAAATGCAAGATTCACCGGAAAGACGATGCTACACGATTGATAAGTCTACAAGAATCGTTAAACTAATTATAGGTCCTAATTTTTGTGGTGTAGTGTCAAGGAAAGACGAAGCAATAGTCGCTCAAGTGAACATGCTTTGTGCGGCGCAACATATCCAGTTTTCTGATTCAGAAAATTGAATATACTACGAAAGCAGTATCTCAGGATACGATGCTCTACCTCACATGCAAATTTGAAATTAATTGCGCGCTTCCTCTATGTGCATCAATTTTTATAACCAACAGTTTAAAACAGATAAAAATTCTTAGAAACAGTATAGTATTTCCTGTTCAGAAGCTTAATCACTGAGAATATTTAGTATACGTGTAGCTATTAACGAGTCAGTTAGACAAAAGTTTCTGTAAATGAAAGGGATTTGTTCCTACATCATTTACAGGACTTTGCATTATTCATATTAAACGTTCATGCTTATAGCATTCATATTTATGTAAAATATCTCAAACAAGAAATATTTGGGCTTTTTATGCGGCCCTTAATTCTGGAGGACGCATTGTGAAAAACATACAGAGAGAGATCATGGTACGAAAGTTCTCATTTATATTTAAGAGTATAAAAGGTGTTTTCCATTTCAAATTATAGATCGAAAGCAATCATTGAATCTGTTGTTAAATCAAATTAAATAATTTCATGCGAAAATAATAACGAATAATAAGACCAAACATATATGAGTAAATGAATTTCTGACGAATTAAAAATAATTATCATAAATATAGTGGAAAACAGCTATCAATTAAATAATTGTTATTTTAAATTTCACTATTATGAACTACGAAATAATGAGTTTAATAGTGAAATACTTTAAAATGTTAAATTTGTTTAAACGATCTTATCTGAAGATTTAAAATTTTGCAGTCTTCATCGACTGAGCACTTTAATAACGAGAGGAAAAGAGGACAGTATTTGATTCTAAAGTTGCGGTGCTTTACAATACTAAATTATGCAATAGACTATTCGATGTGATTAGATGAAAGTTTCATAATGTAAAACATTCTAGTTTTAGCACCTTTCATATAAAAGCATACATCAAAGGTATACTCAGTTTTGTGCAACGCTATCTTTAGCTACTCGATAGTTACGAAAATGTCCTGTCGCAATAACTTGAATACTGAGTTCTTGCTTAGTTAGTGGGCGAAAAATTAGTGCTTAGATATCGAGCAATTAGAGGCGTTGTTTGACAAACAGAATAAGGTTACGAGGGGCCATGTTTAGGGATTTGGAAGGCGTAGAGTTCAGTACATGGTTATATTTTGTGCATTCTACAGATAAGGATGAAAAACAGTTGCCTTCAGATAATGAACTGGACCTAACACGGAAAATTAATCTTTCTTCTGCTTAACAGATGATGTATATGACATTTTCATATTCAAAGAAAAAACTGTTTTGAAAGCGAGTATTTATTTCTGAAATATTCTGTATTAATTAATGAAATTACTATGTCAGTTCTTATAGTGACTCTTCAGATCACTTTTAATTTAATGTTTATGGTAGCTTTGAAAGTGCTTCGCTTTTGTAAGTGCGGGGCAGATTTTTGTAATGTGGGTTTTTTGTACTGGCCTGGAAACTGCCTTACATTTTGTAAATGTGAGTACATATGCGTTTGAAACTTTTTAAGTTTTAAGGAACATTATTTAAGGCTTGCTTCCAAACGGCACCTGCAAGCTGCTGAAGGCCGATAAAATTTTTTTTCTCAAATAATGATATTTAAACGATTCATTATCTCTATTTCCTTTACTGTATGCAGAAAAATTTTAAAACAGCTGATCTATGTGTAAATAAATCGAAAAAGTTTTAATTCCATACTCTTTTTGAGTTATAGTCCTAATTCCATGTTCTCTCGCAAATAATTATATTTCTATATTTTGAGTAAGAAATGAATACTTTTGTGGAGTAGTTTGTTAAAAACAACTCACTAAAAATTGATAATATCAAAATTCAAATTAAGAATTCAACAGGACGCATTAATTGATCAAAATCATTTTTTATTTTATTTACTTATTTTTGAAAATGCATATTACAAATATGAAAATTTAATTGAAAAAATATTTACAAACCTATAACTGAATAAAAGTTTTATTTATAAACTGAATGGCCTAGAATGGTTAAAAATATGTATTTTAGCACATAAATCTAAGCACTACAGAGAAAATTAAACTTTCCAACGCATGGACTGTAACGCATGGTAGTTGATAAAAGAAGAAAGTAAAATTTCTAAGCTGCATGTTTGGCTTTTGAAATGTATCCCTTTCAGTTATGCAAACTGCTAGCTTTCCAAATTGCTGAAGCTTTTAATTTTTTTTTTCAAAATAGCTCTTAGGATTCAAAGTTAAACTGCACTGTAAAAATAGAAAAATATCTGACAGAAGAGAAGTATAATTAACTAGTTACTATTATATTTCTTTCACATGATTTTTACTCAGATAATATACTTAGATACTAGATTTACTTAGATATTTTTATTCATATTTCTTAATTCTGTTTTAGGGTGACTCTGGTGGACCTTTTGTGCAAAGATCCGAAGAAGGTGTGTCAACTTTAATTGGCATTGTATCTTGGGGAAAAGGATGCGCTCAGCCAAACTACCCAGGTGTTTATACAGAAACAGCGCATTATATGGATTGGATTGTTCGTACAATGAAAAATGTAGGAAATCGTCATGTATAACATACGTATTTTATTACTCAATAAATAAATCTCACAATAAAAATTGATATTCATTTTCTTTGTCCTTTCTCTCTGCAAATGCATATTTTTTTCGAAATTAAAAACTTGAGAAAATAATAAACAACATTTTCAGCAATTAAACTAATATACACTAGAGCACGGAGTTTACACATTATTGACTCTATTTTACCATGTTTTATTTAAATTTAGATGTATGTATCACGCAGGAATTCTACGTACTTCCAAGAAACATTCACAGAAAAGTGCAGAAATTACCTAAAGACAAATATAATAAATTTTCTGTTAAAGTGGATACTCTGACTTTAAACTACTAGAAATATGACGGTATCCAGAATTATTAGATCAAGAAGTTAGTTGCAAACCCTAAACACCACATTTTCTTGCGTGTTTGGTAAAGGAAGAACGTTTCTCGGAATTTTCTGTCACTGGCTAGTGCCAGTTTGTTTCACATATTTCAGGGCAAGGATCTGCCAAAAGCTACTTTATTCAGCTCTTGTTCATTAAATGTAAATATATATAGTTACAACCCTTCGTACTTTAAAATTTTATAATATTGTAGGTTTTTTTCATTACATACAAGTAGCACGAAGACTACATTCAATAAGTGATGCTGACTGCTAAACTTTCTTCTTTAGAGATAGATTAATCTCCTTTGTTCATTTACACATTTAATTAGGGAGAATATTGTGTAATTATTTTATATTATTATCATAGGTGTTTTTTACGATTAGATAGTTATCGGTAATTGGAAATCAAGGTAGAAATGTATTTCCTGTTAACCTTCAAATCTGTTATTGATATGAATTGTTAAACATTTTGAGTTTTTAATCGTTTTCATCGTTTGTCACTTCAGTGTTTTTTAAAGGAAGTAAATTTTTTAATTCCAATTAATTTTGCATAATTTTAAAGAATAGTTGAAAATGAAGCAGTTACATGAACATTGCTTTTACAAAATATTTCTTTGCATTCACAACGCACAAGTATCTCAAACTGAAAAATTATACTTTTAAAAAGTATTTTATGTTAGATAATAAATAATAATTCTACTCTTGTTTGTTGATTCTAAAAAATAAACAGTTTGACACCATTCTCAAAAAATTTTATTCGGTATCCAACCAGAGTAAACAAGCGCGCTATAAACCCACTTTCTCCAGCGGGTATTTTCAAAATATGGTATTTCAAAGATGTAAAATTCTTAAATCATTAAGGGGTAGATTTTAGGTGCTGGCTTAGTAAAAAAATGATTTCGTTTCAAATGTGACTTGCTGATCCGTGGAGATTAGTCACCAAAGTCTGAGAACGGAATAAAGCTTGGATCATAAATGTAAAGCCTTGTGATTGCTCGCTCATGATTTCTCACTTACGAGTACATTTTACGCCACGATAAAGCGACAATTCACTTCGAGGCGAAAGCTGGCCGTAGACTATTAAATGCATTCTTGCCGATCTTCGACGTAATTCTTTCCGGATTCATTTTGAAGTTATTGGACAAGGTTGTCTACGAAACAGCTGTTTAGTTGTAAAAGGCAGACTGCCTGCATGTTTTTAGGCAAAAACATACTTTCTAATAGGTGTAACAGAATTCGCTTGAGTGAACATGGTAAGAGAGATAAAAGGAAAAGAAAGTAGTAGGGAAAGAGGTGAAGGCAGCTTTCGGAAAAGAAATGTGTAAAACTTTGATCACTTCCAATTTATTTAAGTAAAAAGATAAAATATTTCAGACTGCACAGTTGTTAATATCTGTATGTTATCAAAGCTGAACTAGATGGAAATGCTTAAAAATTATTAAGCATAACTTCATAAAATTTCTAAGTGTATATTCTCCTTTCATTTCGTTGAAATAATTAGCGATTGCAAAGCACCAGAATGTTGCGAGTTGCAGAATTCTGTGCAATTGTTACACTTAATTTTTAGGGTTAAAAGTGCTGTTTAGTTATCTAGATGTGATCAGTGTATACTATCAGTGCTACCAAGACAGCCATTAGTTATGCCCTTCATTAATCGCCTTTCAATTTCTAAGATTGCAGTTTTCATTTCTGAAGAATTATTGGTCTTATCTAATAAAACTGGACGTAAAAGTACGGCTAAGGGTTAAAACTTCCTAAATTACCTAAGAATATTTTTCCGTTGGCTTATTTCGTTTTAAAATTAAATTGTCTATTCAAGTTACCACTTGATTGTCGTATCAAAAAAATTCTTCCTCTCTCGGTATATATCATTCTCGCTTCTCTATGTGCCATATATACGTACATATAGTATGTACTTTCTCTCCTTCTTTAAGTTTATATATTTTTTCCCGATTCTTAACTTGCCTATCCTAGTAAAGAAAGCAAGGCAGGGACAGGATAGGCAAAGAAAGACCAGGGTGGATCTTCTTTACCATTCTGAACAGGATAAAAAAGGTAAAAAAAAATCCTCATTGTCGTTTTAAATTTTTTAAGGATTTAATTGCACTTGATAAAAATATCTGTGCATATTTAGATTCTTTTACAAAGCAAAGAACAATTCGACTGTGCATTAAAATCTTTCGTGTAAGTAATACGAAAACAGAATTGTAAGGAAGGAAAATTCTTAAAAGAAATAATCTAATGCAAAAACAAAAACGCAGAAATGCACAAAACCAGCTTGTTTATGTCTTGGAAATTTATAAGGTATTTCTCCCTCCTTCTTAGCATGCCTTCGTGGTGTAGTGGTCAGCACGCTCGGCGTGTATTCAAGGGCTCCGTGGTTCGATTCCCGGCGAGGGCATCGCTCATTTTTCATATCTTTTGCTATCAAAAAATGCCTAAATGCCTAATGTCTCTACAGTGGTGCCCGAACTAAAAAGGGTGGTGGATGATGATTCTCCACCACCAGGATTTGACGATTGAGTCCCCTAATCCCCAGTTGCCCTTTAAAAGGAGGAGTATATAAGGTATCTCTGCCGGTTTCTTGGCCTTCCTTTGTGGTGTAGTGGTCAGCAAGCTCGGCGCTTGTTCGAGAGGTCCGTGGTTCGATTCCCGGCGAAAGCAATGCTCGTTTTTCATCTCTCCTGCTTCCTGCTTTCAAAAAATAACTTATGTCTCTGCAAACTATTGTTAACACACACTGAACTCAAATTCTAAAATTGTAATTTCGATTTTTATATATCTGTGGTTAAGTAAATTTTCATATTTACCTAACGTTCGCAAGGATATATAACCGTGCATGCCCTCTAGTGTAATTGGTAGCACATACGGTTAGTAACCAGAAGGTCTGTGGCTCGAAACCCGGAAAGGGTATCCAGAAACTGGAGAGGGAGCTGGTTCGATTTCTTGCTTCAAGGACTTAATAGTTCCGCAAACTGGATAATAAACGTATAGTTTTATTTAATTTAGGAGGCATTTTTACTTATTTTATATTATAATTTTGCTTATTATTTTGCTAGTTTTTATTTTATTTTTATTTCTGGCTAATTGGGATTCATGTCTGATCGCCTTCGAAATCCATAGAGTCTTATTCAAAATCTGAGCCAGTATTAAGTAGCATATTTTGCTTTGTTTCAAATTCAATTTAACTTGTTTAATAACGTGATTCTATGCCTAAAAAGAGCTTCTGTAATAAAACGAATAAACTGAAAAGGCAAACTGGAAAGATAAAAGAATCGATTTTGTTCTTACTGTGTTATAATCAAATTTATTTTATTAAAAAAAATAGAAGAGTTTTAATGTCGTTTAGATTTAATAGAAGAACTGAATATACACACATATATAATCTAATTGAAACTCTAACACTTAAAATCATAATCTGATTTCAAAATCTAGAGTTCAAAAATTTCGAATGACATTTTTAATAATATAATACCAACAAATTCAAATATTAAGCGTGTGTGTGTGTGTATGTGAAAGCCAATTATTTGAGTTAGTTTCTGCAAGCTATAATTCAGTGTGAAAAGTTAAAAAAATCAGCTTAACCACAGTTAGCAGAAACAGTAAAATAGAAATGTTCTTTGTGAGCTAAAAGATATTGAAAATATAAAAAACTTCCTACCTGCCTATTTCTCAATTCATGACTCATGTTCAGTATATGTTACAGATTGGCTAATGAAAGTTTTGATACATCACCAATCACGCAAATCCAAAACCGGACTGAGAGACCGAAATGATTTTTCCAGAACCAATGATTCTTGTACTTTCTCCAAACGTATTTAATTCTTTAAAGAAGCAAGACATAAACACCAGGAATATAAGAATTTATATTAAATAGAAACGAAAGAAATCACAAGCAAAAAAAAAAAAAAACCTTCTTATAACAGATTCAGATGTTCATTTACCATATCAAATTGAAAAAGGAGTAAAATACCTCCAAGAAGCAATAAAAGCATTAAATGTTTTTTCACTACTTCTTTCCTTTTGATAAATAGTAAGGGGTATCAATTCCTATTTTTTTTGCATTGAACCTGTATTGAAACCTGTACTGAACTGTGAAATTTTTTTCAGAGCAAAAAAACGTGAAACATTTAGTATTAAGAAAGTATTTAGTATTAACCAAGTAGCACTGTTAAGAAAGGGGAAAGGAAGAATATGAAATCTGTTTGTTAATGCATACCGCGGATTTTGCGTGATCACACATTTTTAGTATTGATGATAACCAAGTAGCAGTTCTTCCACTTAGCCAGATGGATAGCAGAGTCACGAACGGGGGAAGTAATATTTTAAGGTATTTCTCCCGCCGTCTTAGCATGCCTTCGTGGTATAGTGGTCAGCACGCTCGACGCGAATTTGAAAGTTTGAGAACATTGCTCTTTTTCATCTCTCATGCAACATCAAAAATCCTAATGTCTTTACAGTCCCACTATTTGTTATACTCCCCTCCACTTATAGGCTACTGGGGAGATCGGACGAAACTCAGTCGCCCAGATGCAGGTGGTAAGGAGTTATCATCTATGATTTGAATATCACTGCAGACACTATTAGATTTGCTTTTTAGTGGGAAACACTGCAGTCAGCCATGGCTTCA